CCGGACTCAAACCCGGCGGGTCCTCGTTCGAAAAGGGCTCGCCAAAAACGATGCTGCGCGTCCACCAATTGTAGGTCACCGAGGGAGAATCACGTGTGTTTCCCGCTCGTCTCTTCCCGTTTTTTGGTGCAACACCTGAGAGAGGAGGAAGGGGGAAGATGGCACTGAGCTTCCATGACCAAGGCGGATTGTAGGAGCCAGGGCAAGCCCTGCTGGGTGTCTCTTGTCCAGCCTGTTTTAAGGAATGGAGGTGCTTCCTCCTTACCCCAGTGACACCTGGGAGTGGCTGTCAGCAAAAGGCTGTCTTGGGAATGCCCCACATTCTGTCTGCTGGAGTAAAGCTAGGAGTTTGCATGAGATATCACAGAGGAACAAGAACCAAGTTCTCATCTTGACCTACATTTGCAAAAACAAATGAAGGGCCTGTAACTGCAGACTGTAGTTGTTTTCGGTTTATTGCAATCTTTGATTTGAGCCACTGTGTGAGATCAGAAACAACAGCAATAAGCATCATGTTCACCCTTACTGTCTTCTGACTTAAGTACAGTTCTTGTTTATTATCATCTTGAAGTTCCTACTTCTCAAGCTTTCCACACCAAGGGATTTTTTTTTTTTAATAGTTAATGTAGTTAGAAAAGACAGTCTTGTATGCAGCTGTTAAGCTTTTTCTTTCATTTTCACAAGCACAGCTGTGCAAGTAATATATGTTTGTCTACCTTCAAAATTACTTGCCTGTAGCATTGTTTTCAGAACAATTTTTGCTGCTGCTCTGCCGGTGTGAAGAATGCAGTGTTATATTCTGTGTCATCTTTCAGCTCTTCCTTATTGTCCATTGAACAGTCTACATCTCAAGGTGCTTTTTGTGTAGTTCTCGGAGTAGTAGTAGCACTGTAAAAACGTGTCTTTTTCACAGGGTTTGTTTGGCATTTCTTTGATCAAAACCAATTGGTGGGAGGGGGTGGTGTATAACCTCTTTAAAATGCCACTGAAGGCTTGTGGGTGTTCTGATTCAGACCTGTTAAGGTTGAAATAATTTCAGCAGTGGATCTTTTACAGTATTTCTGACTGTGGGAATGAAGAACATGAATGCTTCTTTCTGTTTTCGAAAAATTGTCACAAGCCTTAAAAAAAAAAAAAAAGAGGTTGGCTACAGTTTCTAGAATTTATCCTTCGCGCCTTTATTTCTTTTAGTAACTCTGCCTGTTTGTATTGATTTTCACGTGCTTCAGGCTTTGTAAATACAATAGTAGTGTCCTGCCATGATGCTACTTCTGTGGGTTAGAAGAGTGAGCTCTAAACAAGGCCTGTGTGACAGTCTGCTCCTCCTACGCTCCCACCCAAAGCTTATCAGATGTCACATGGATGCGTACATTAGGAGTAGATGAATCTCTTCCTGAAACTACTAACGTCTTTGCTCTATAAAGGTCAGAGGATGCTGAGTCAGATGCAGACCTCTCTACCTTTGTCCAGGTGAATAACACCTAAGCACTGTAAATTCTAACAAAAGTTAATTGCAGCTGGCATGACTGATGCCTAAGTTGTAAGTAATACTTGCTTTAATAAGTGGATGTTACGGGTAAGTGATTTTTAAATAGTGCAGTGGACAACACTTCTGTGACACTTCATCTGACAGAGTATTCAAGCTTCTGCTGGCTACATCAGTTGCTAGGAAACTTAAATTTGCTATAAAGAATATTAAGATATGAAAGTGGAGGCCTTAAGCATCTGATAATTGAAGAAGTTTTAACACCATTGCTTTATAGTGTGACTGGAAGTGGGGCTGCACAGATGTGGTACACGTTTGTGGAGGGGAGTAATCTCCGTGGAGCTGGCGTAAGGATAGAGAAGAGCAGGATCTGGGACTTATATCTAGGAGTAACTTCATTGTTTTAATAGACTTGGGAACTCCATAACTGCACTGAGACCGCTTATATAAGGTTTCTTCAGCTGATCCATCTGTTGGAGTTAGGCCTGACTGGCTGAAAAGCAGTGGGCTCGCAGTGAATGTGTATTTGCTGAGTTAGGGTTGAACTTGGAGAAAAATGTAACTCTTCCTGTGTGGTTAAGGATCTTGCTGTGGTTATAGTGCAAAGAAATATGCTAGGTGGAAAGAACCTTTTTGTTACGGGATATGGCGCTGCAACATAATCATGTTGTATACATAAAATGGTGTTTTGCTAATATTTCAGGTATTTGAAATGCTGACAGTTCTTCAGTAGCCAACAGTTTATTCTGAACAAAGGGATGCTGTCAAACATACTGCATGTCTGCAGAGTGCTTGGCAGATGTTAATGTAGTAGTGAAAACTTTTCCCAGCTATGAATGTTTTCTTTCCAGATATAATAAAGGAGCAAAATCGAGAGTTAAGAGGTACACAGAGGACTATAACCAGAGATAGAGCAGCACTCGAAAAACAGGAAAAACAACTGGTAAGTAGAGCAGGGAACTTTATTTTTACTCTTTCAAAGCAAACACGCACCCCCAATATGACAGAAAGCTTGCAAAGTGCTGAAGATACAACTCAGTGTGTAACAATGGAATACTCAAAAGGTTATCTTCCCCCTTTTTGACTTTTCAGTTATGTAAAATTGTGTCAGGAAAAAATTACTATCCAAAAGTGATTCTCAGCCTTTAACATACGAAAAGCCTAAAACAGTGTGTTTTGGATTAAATAACCACATTCATTTTTCCTTTCCGTTGTTAGCACTGCCTGTCCTTCAGAAGGTGTTTTCTAACAGGCTTGTATATCAGTGGTCTTGTGGTGGAAAAACTAGAGGGGTTAGTGCCATCACACGTTACCGTGACTCTCCAGTGGGAGACAGTACTTGAAAAACCCATAGGGTGTCATGGATACCCCATTGGGTTATTTTCATCCATGTAGAACTTCCCTAAAACTCGCTAATAATAGTAGAACTATCTGCCTAAATTAAGATCTATTTAAAACTTGGCGTGCATGATATATTAAGTATTCAGTGAATGGATGCTGCACCTGTGTGGCAGTATAATTGGATAAGTGGCTGTGACAGATGGTGGCATTTGATGCATGAAGACATGCTCAGACTGTGGGAAAAGCTATGCAAATCCAGCCACCGTTTCAGCAGCTACTGAGGTGTTGTTTCATGGCAGTAGGTTGCACGAATACCAAGAGTTGGGAGTAATAAACCAGAAGAGGTCAGCGAAATTGCTCCTGGAAGGCTTGAACATGTAAAATACAATAGGTTACTTGTAGATAAGGCATTTTTTTTAGTCTGAAATTATTCTGACTCTGGAAATAACCTTAATTTTCATACACAGGTTGAAATTTTGATTACTTACTACAGTAAATTGTTTCAGAAATGTTGGATTTCTGATGAGAAGAAAGAAGTGAAATATATCTTTGGGAAAGTTAAAACTTGCTGTTAGGACGAGAGAATCAATGGACAATAAATACTGATTTTCAGAGTCAGGTCAGGTGTAAAAGGACCATGGCTTGTCAGCAATCTCAGAACATTTTGTTGGGTACTTTCTTCAGACAGGTGCTTTTTCCCATAACTATGAGGTACTGCTCTGAGAAAACCTCATTACATTAATTCTATGTATAAAGATACCTGAAAGGATGCAGACAGTTCTGTTTCAGTTCATTAACCTCATATAGCATTATGAATTTTGATGATTTTTTTTTCCCCAGAAGAATGTAACTGACTAAGCTTGCCTCAAACCTCTCAAAAGCAAATAATGTATTGTAACTCTTGACCCAAATTCTCCTTAAGAATAAAATCGTGTATATATAGGGTTTGATTTCTGCAGTGATTTAGCAACGGTTGGTGCAGGTTTGTATTTCACTTTGAAAATCAGGTTAGAAATACTACTTAGGTATTTCATCTTGGTAAGAAAATCCCTATTCTCAAAGTTTTGCTGTAAAAATTGGGATGCAAACTGGTGTTTGCTAGTGTGCGCACTAATCCCACCTATCCATCACCATGCTTGAGGTATGAATAAAGGACATCGTTTTCTGGGCGTGCTACAGAAATTTGTTCTTGTGGTCTCTGCGAGCTGCTTACAAAGAGGACTGCTTTTTATGTGTATTTCAGGCCTCCAATATTTGAATAGTCTTATGCTCCTCATTTGCTGATCTGTACCTTCTTAGTTTAAAAACAGTATGTATGCCAAGGCCTTTCAGAAATTATGGATGTACAGAGAAGTTGTGGTGCCAGTGCCATCTCTGTAGTAAACTTAACCATGATCTTTCCTAGGACCAAAGCTAATGCAACAGGTCAGTTTACACTTACCTTTAAACAGGATGGGTTTGCATATCCTGATGACCAGTATTTTACCTCTTCAGGGCAACATACCTTTTATAAGTGCAGTTTTCTGGACTACCAGTGCACATGATGTGAAGAAACTGTATTCCTGTAGCAGGTATATTCTCCTGAAGAATCACAGGAGAAAGCTGGCCTTTAAAGTCTGCTTTTACTTAGTGGTAAAAATAGAAATGCACAATTGGACATATGCAAAGAGCCAAGATGCTACAGCAAGCCCTCCTTAAAAAGGCCAAAAAGGAAAAATTAGTTGAGAGGTTTATATTTCTGACTCACAAAATGCTACAAAAAATCCCAGCTGACAAGATTACTTGTGATAAACTTTTTCTTGGTATGCCTGGGCTAAATAGCTTGCTGTTTCTCCTTGAATTGATAGATCGGGGTTTGGGGGTTTTTGGTAAGCTATACTTGTCTGTCTTAAGGTTTAAGCACATGTTGTTATAGACAAATTATACCACTTTTATTATGTGCCAAGTCCAGCTAAATTATGTGGGCAAACAGCCTATAGTTATTGTTCATCTAGCTTTATTTACTTCTCGTCCCCAAAAAGGTTGTAAGAGTCTCTCGAGGCTGAAAAAGTGTTAAAAAAGAACCTATTAACTCACCATTTCTTCCACGAGTGATGTGGCTTGATTGCCCATGAATGCAAGAAACCAAAGATGATTAGAGTCACGGCAGTAATAGTTGGCTGGCCATAATAATTTCTGCACTTCCTGGTTTGTGGGTTGGTTTGGTTTTGAAGTGTTATTCCCTATCCAGATATGGAATTGAATGTGCACTTGTAAGTGGACTTGACTCTCTGTAAGAGTTTTGGGGAACTGCTTGCTACCATACTGTAGTTCGGTTTTGTTAAGGTTTTTTATTCTGGTCAAATCATAGCAGTATTGAATTTATTCTACTAAATAGCCTTGGTAGAAAAGCAAGGAAGACTTTCTATAACTTTAAAAGGCTTAAAAAGAAAATCAAGAGGATAATTAACTTCTGGAATTTAATTGTTAGTGTTAAGGCCTAATTATAGTCTTTGAATGAAAACTCTGTAGCATTAATCTTATACCTTTTTTAATAGGAACTGGAAATAAAGAAAATGGCTAAGACTGGTAACAAAGAAGCCTGCAAAGTTCTAGCAAAACAGCTTGTACAGCTGCGGAAGCAGAAGAACCGAACCTACGCTGTTAGCTCTAAAGTCACCTCTATGTCAACTCAAACTAAGGTCATGAACTCTCAGATGAAGATGGCAGGAGCTATGTCAACTACAGCAAAAGTAAGGGGTCACAAGGCATCCTTTCAGATTAAAGTGCAGCGTGTGGTTGCAAAAGTTCAATTGTATTATTTTCTGTAAGGTAACTGGAGGGATGAAACCTATTGTTTAACACCCCAAATGGCCTAATAAACTCTAATGTCAGTGGAATAACTCTTAGTACATCAAAAAAATCCCAAACCATGCCACGGTAGTGTCTTGCCTGTATGTCTTGTCACAGGCAGTTTTTATTGGGAAGAAGTAGGGCATGCTTCGTTTAGAAATTAAGGCAGTGTGTCACAGTAGCTTTACGGTTTGTGCAAAAAGTAGCTTATTACTTCAGATGTTAAATTCCTAAGGACACCTGATCTGGAGTTCCCTGTCATTCTCACTTTCCATGCTCTAATGAAACAGTATCGAATTAAGTTTTCTCACAAATCTCATCTCAAGAGCCTGAAAAAACCCCAGTTATCCGAGTTAGTTGTGAAGCTTCCCCTGTTCCCCTGAATTCATAAATAGGGGGTTGGCTTTTGGCAAGGAGAATTGTTCAGCTTGAGGTGTAGGAAATGGAATTAGCACGCATCATTGTAGACAAGCTAGGCTTTTATCACAGTCCAAGTTAAATCCAGTTAAACACGGTAATACAACGCAACTTAGTGCAGAAAGTACTTACTGCTAAGGCCCTGCTGATAGGTTTCTTTTAGAAGCGGTATGTTGGCTGAACCAGCTGTTCAGGGATAAAATGCTGTGGCTCTCCAGCAAACTTTCCATCCTTCCTGACTAACCCACGAATGGGGAGCTTGTCTGACTGTGCTGTTGATCAAGTTAAACAGCTTACTCGCTTTTCCTTACTCACAACAGCATTGCACGAGAACAAGTTGGTGTAGCTTTTTAATTATTACATGGTTTACATGTGTTTATCTATCAGATGTCTCAGATTAAATTTCTCAGAACCAAAGCATCACTAGACTAATTATGAAGGTTAAGACAGTAGAAATATTTAAAATATAAATTAAGCAGCATCCCAAAAAGTGATGTTTTCTGAAACACAGTAGGTACTTCTATGGCCTGGTTTGTGTAACATTGGAGAGGAAGATGTTAAATTATTTTGGTCAGTTTTAAAGTGAGTATTTTGCCTTATCAACACAGAAGGCTTGAAGTACTCAGTCATTCATTTTGAAGCTTATAAACTGTTTGCAATCGCATACAACCACTAGTGAAAAATACATGGAATCAGTTGCCTCAACGAGCAAGACAAATACACGAATCCAAAGCCTTCAGAATATTTTCTCTGTGATTTTTAGTATGTATAGCACTGACTTTCACCATAGTAAAGTCCAATTAATAGTTACCTGTTTTTTAATCATGCATCTGACCCTTATTTTCTGAAGGCATATAAACTCTGTATGAGTTTAGTGCCAGTATTTTGGATGTCCATAAGAGAATTCTAAAGACCCGATATCCTCTAAGTCCAGAACAACTATTAAATTCAAATAATGTGACTATGAACATAGTCTTTGAAATTCAAGTAACATTAGAAACATAGTACATGATCACTTTAAACAAACTCAGACATTATGGCAGAAGAGCTTCTGTGTAGCCGGTAGCGGCTGTAGCAGTTTGATAGCACCCCTTTTAATTAGCCAACTTTTATCTTCTCAAAGATGGTCAGACTTTACGTTTGAATTGCTCATGTCTATATTTAGGTTTTGGCGTCCCATGGGAGATACACTAACTCACTTCTTAGCAAAGAGGAAAGCATTAAAATGCCAGTGCCTGCACAGGCAGTGCTGCACGCTTGTAGTAAACTAGGTGAAGTTTACTACATGGTCACAGAAAGATCCCTACCCATTACAAAAGTTCACCCTAAGCTAATATGTCCCTATTTGCTTTTCAGATAAAAGTATTTTCCCATTGAATTATAACATGAAGAAACACTTGCAATTTAATGCCTGTCCTCTATTGGTGGTTCAGATAAATGTTTCTTACTGAATAAAAAGCCTCCAGCCATTTACCTCTTTAAAGTGTATAGCCTGCAAGTTAGGAAATGTTGTCCCATTCTTTTCATTCAGATCAGGCAGAATTTTCTTAATACAAAGTCAGAAGAAGGGCCATGGTGCAAGGAAGACACATACATTTAGGAGCATATCTATTAGGGTAGTAGATAGCAGTATTTCCTACTAGGTGCGGATGGTACTATTGATCTGTTGTGTACCTGCACTTCTCATGGGATATAAAGAGGCAAGGAAGGTGAAATTTGGACCGAAGGGTTTTTTATTAGGAAAATCTTATTCCTTCTTGATATATATATATATTCGTATTTACTAATGTCTCACTGTATGATTAAGGTTTTTTTCAATATTAATAGACAATGCAAGCAGTTAATAAGAAAATGGATCCACAAAAGACACTACAAACTATGCAGAATTTCCAGAAGGAAAACATGAAGATGGAAATGACGGAAGAAATGAGTAAGTTCCGCACTGAGGGGAACAGCTAGCTGCAGCCCACGGTGCTCTTGGAAGGGTAGAGCCAGTCTAGAACTGCTGATGCTTGAATTTTTATCTCTACAATTAATGAGATTGACAGCAAAAAGGAAGAGCAAGCAAACTAATGCATGTCTGAGCAGGAAGGCTGAACCTTGGGCTTTTTAGTAGATCTAGATGCTAACTCTAGAATTCATTCTGGGGACAATCAGTTTGAGATCAGTTCAAAACCTCGATGGTGTAATGAGTAGGGGGCCTTGAAAAATTACCCTTTCTGTAGCTGGTAGTTCTGCATGTGCTTTTTATTCTGGGAGTAGACACTTAATTTAGATAATATTCATAATCTCAGTTTTACATACATGGTGGAATGGGATGGTTTTGTCTCTTTTATTTTAAGCCACAAACAACAACTTGGGGCATGGCAGGTTTCTTGTTCTAACTTGCCTCTGTCCACTGTTAACTAGATAACACCAAAGTTCTGGGTGTTGCTAGCACAGTCTCCTCCCTATCCTTATCCCTGCTGTGGTGTTGGCTGTTGTAAGTAGCCCAGACTCAAAACAATACCCTTGAGCCAGCTGCGAACACCTCAGCTATGCAGAACTGTATTGCTGCAATTCAGAAATTAGCAGAGTAGTTAACGATTTCGCAACTTACTTGGAGGAGGAAGAAGAAGGGGATCTTTACGGAACTGTAGATGATCTTTTTAAGAATTTTAAAAATATAGTGTGGGGGGAGATAGATCTAACTGCACTGTTCTGGTGAAACAAAGTTTTTATAAAAGCAGTCGTGCCTTACCCTAGCTGCGCTCACAGCCTGTGCCAGGCAGAGGTAAGAAAGACTCTCCGATACACAGGTACTTTCTGTTGGTACCTCACACAGTGGTGTTATTGCCACATTCTGGGAGGGTCGGAAGACAGTACTATGTTATTTTAGTAACCTTCTGTTTAATGCACTGTGGACTTTTTTTTTTCTAAGTTAACGATACTCTGGATGATATTTTTGATGCTTCTGATGAAGAGGAAGAAAGCCAAGATATCGTTAACCAAGTGCTTGATGAGATAGGAATTGAAATCTCTGGAAAGGTATGGCTATTTTTACCAAGTTCATGCGTTTCTTCCCCTTGATTCCCTTTCTTTAAATATTTAAAAAATATTTAATAATTTTTTTTCTAGTGGCCCTTATTTTCAGTTTTACCCTGGAAGTCAGCTTGCCATAACCTGTATTATTTTGACTGAAGAAAACTTTTTCTTTTTCTAGATGGCCAAAGCCCCCTCAGCTGCCAGGGGCTTACCATCTGCGTCAACATCAAAAGCTGCCACCATATCAGATGAAGAGATTGAACGACAGCTCAAGGCTTTGGGAGTTGATTAGCTTGATGGCAATACACAGCCTGTCTTCTCATTATTTATCAGCAGACAGATGTAAAAAGTGCAAATACTCTTTCAATGCAACTGATGCCTAGGAAAACCCTGAAGCTTCAGAAATGCCAAGTGGAAGTTGGTACTGGGGGAAGGAGAAGGGGAGAATGTTTTAAACCAACTTACAGGAAGAGGTATGCTTGGTGTGTCCATTGCATGGAGTCGTCTTTGAGCACTGGACCAACCAGGGATGTAGTTCTAATGATAAATTCATTTGTACCTGATCTGAATCTGCCCTCTGAATTCAAAGTTTTCTTCCATCTCAGTTCCTGATCCATCTTTGGAATTGGCTATTCTGTGGCTGGTGGTGATGCCTCCTAAGGCAGCACCTATATAACATAATTTTTATGAAACTACTGCTATAGAAAAACTCTTAGTCTGTCATCTTAGCACAAATGAAACTTCACATTTGCTCTTAGTTGGAAACTATTTTCTTTGGATGAGAAATGGTCTTGACAGCCTAGCAAATTTAGGCAGAAAGAAAAAGCATTTTATGTATTTCTTTCAAGTTCCTGTAGTGACTTTGAGCTGATGAAATAATAGCTGGTTATTCTTTTTGCCAAAAGAGAGAGATACAGTCCTTGTGCAGTTTATGTAACTGGAAGAGGATTTAAATTTGTTAGTGAACTTTGTTGCATGAAAGGCACCGATCGAACTCCATTGTGCTGTAACATAGCTGGTTTCAACAGAATTGCTGTGCCTTTATGTATATAAATCTTGTACCTTTGTGATTTCTTTCAGAATGAGTCTTTGGAAGGCAAGTACGCTGGTAATTAAGATGGTTTCACAAAACACTGTGGTGAGGCCCCTGTGCACACTTGATGGGACTCAGTGCTAAGGTTGGGAAACGCAACGCATGCACTCGCAAAACAGACACTTGCCTGAAACGACATTTGTATATATTTTACAGCATTTCTTAACGGAAGATAACTGCATAGTTGTGTTGTTTACTAAGAGGCAATTGGTCACGCTCATGAGCTAAATCTAAAATTTAGTTTTGAGAACAGTTTTGGATGATCCCTGATCATTACTTGTCTAAGCACTATAATAAAAGTGTTCTGGTTCTGTGAAAGTTTTTCTATGATTTGAGCTGTGTTCAGCATGATTCTGGGTTGGAGTGGAATGCGTTGGACTGCTGTAATAAGAACTGCTGAGATTTTAAATGGGTGGCAAAGTCTGAGAACACCGTCCTCAGTTGACTTCCCAGATGACGTGGAGTTCCTCAGTCCTTACTCTGCTGGAGATTATCTGCCCTTCGGATGTGCTGATTTTGCAGGGCTGTTCACTGAGCATCATCTTGGCTTTTAAAAGAGCAAAGCAAGATACCTCCCAAGAGTCAACCAGAATAACTGTGGGTGGGAAAAACTTCATAAAGAGACTTTGCTGCTAGAGAAGGCGTAGGGGGAAACCATAACCCCTACGAATCTACTGTTATTGCAGTTCTTAGGACTAAAGTCAGCAGAGAAAGAAAAAAACCAGGTGAGCCTTCATCTGGTTTTTGGCATAGAAATGCAGGTGTTCCTTCTCTTTGAAGGAAGTAATGGACAAAGTATGAACCTCTGAGGTAGTGGGTAGGAATGTGTAAGTTTATATATTGCATATCTCTGATATGAGGTGATTTTTTTTTTTACAAGTTATTTTGTAAAAATCTAATAAAATGCTTTTTATTCCGCAATGACTTTGTCCTTTGTAGGGTTAGACTTGCAAATCTGTCTCTTAGCGGGCTTTCTTTGGACTCCTGTTAGCTCTGGTAGACGTTCCTTTGACCTGAGCTATAAAGCACCGTAATAGTTGTTGCAGGTGCTTGTGGACCTTCGACTTTACTGAATGTTGAGTTTAAGAGTTGATCAAATTTGCATTCCCTTCTGTCTGTAACTGGATGATGCCCAAGTACTGCTCTTAAGCACTGAAGGAGGAACCATGATGTGTTATTAGTTGAGTCGAAAACATTATTGTTTGATTGTATTTTGGTTGAACACCAAGGTTTATGTCCTTCCTGAATGGAGTGCTTTATCCTTTTAAGGACTGTCAAAACTGGGCATAATTTGGTGTTCTTTAGGACGCTGTGATGAACAGGAATAAAGGCATTGCTTTTTGGTGTCAGTAAGGCTGCTGAACTAGGGCTACTGACAATATCTACCCCCTGTTTGTGTCAAAAGGTAACTTTTTTAAAGTCCTGCAGCTCTAATCTGTATAAAAAAAAATCTTTCAGTGGCGGAGTGAGAAGTGTTGTAGGCTTGTTCACTATTTATTTCAATTACAGTGAACACTGTGTAGCTGTCTGTAACAAAATTGCATCCTCTACTTAGAAACAAATTCCTTTTAAATCACTCTTGGCAGACTAAAAAATAAAAAAATGAACCCCACTCAATCCTTAAAGTCCTTTATCCTTGCTGACACCTGAAGTCCTCCAACCAAGAACAATAATGCAACTGTGCATCCACCTCAAAACGGCTCTACTGGGGCAGAGTGAGGTCTGGCTCGCCCAGAATCCTGCTCCACAGGTACCCATAAGCAATGCCCAGGAAAATACGAAAACAAGGGAAACAGATGACACTTCCTTCCCTAATACTCCTCCAACCTCTTAACTATTTACAGTTTGCAGCACATCCAGAACTGTATGTAAGTTCCTCTACGTACAACAGTTATGAGCAGCTTTTTCTGAGCTTGTCCATGTAGACTTCCGGCACCCACGTTTCTTAGTAGCAGAGTTCCACAGATTTTTTCCCCACCACATTAAGACCCACCACTTTTCTTTTTTCTTGAGCTTCTTTCCAGCTTACATCCTTACTCCTAGTGCTTGCACCAGGGAAGACGGTGAACAGCCTGCCTCCCTCCCGCCTTCCGGTACAGCTCATGCTTCAGTAAGACCTCCACAGCATTCAGTGCACACAGATCTGGGGGAGAAACAGTAGCTTCAACAGTTCTTTGTCTTACCTTTGGTCATCAGCTTTGCCTGCACAGGGGCCTTTCCTAGGCCTGTTGCATCCTTCAGACGAGGGGGACAGAATGACACGCAGCACTTCAGAGACAGGTGAGCCACAGATCTGTACCTTGTCATAACGTCTTTGTTTTGTCCTCTAGTCTAAACACCCTGCCTACGGTCACCATGGGAAAAGTAAGAGCGGGGGGGGGGGGGAAACATCTCACAGGAAAATGGAGCAGCCCACGTTAGTCAAATGGCCAACTAAACTACTTGCAGGTTTACAGAACTACCCCGCAGAAGACTTATCTCGGCGTTTTCCTACGATCAAGAGCGATTGATGGCAATTGCCCAGTGAGTTGTTCCAACGGCAAAAAAGCGAATTGCCACTTTATCCAGGTCTAATGGCTGCAGCAGGTTAAATTGATTTCATCCAGCTTTTTTTTAATTTAAACAATTCTGCTCTAATTCATTGTATTTCCGTGGCAACAGCTAGGTGTGTTTAAATGGTGCCTGGGTTCCTCCACCTGGCCCTTCATCATTCCTTTGCGAGAAGATGGCATTACGTGTCACCTTTCACAGCCTTTTGCTGTGCTTGTGCAACGAGCCTCTGCTTGTGAGGCTGCTTGTCAGACTAGAGATCACAGTGCTATGGTAAGCCTGCTCCTGAGTTCGTTATCTGTTACAGCGTGCTAAAATGAATAAGCACATCAGCATGATACACAGCTAAAATAAGTAAAAGTGTTACCAAAACAGAACTACAAACTTACCTGGAATACTGCAGGAATCAGAATACTTTTATTGGATGGGGAGGTTAGGAAGTACAGGTTTGTAGCATTTCTGAGGAAGTCTTTTATAATTAAGAAAATAATTTAGACTATAAATAAAATTGATATATGTCAGACAGTTTTGACATATGTAACGTTAGATCACGGAACGTGAAAGGTACACAAATGCGTGTCACTGCCTTTACTGAGCGCTAATCTTCTCAACTGTATTTAACTTTCATCCTTTTGGAAGGTTTGTGATCTGCTGACACACGTGGGGTGGATAAAGGCTATACCTTGGTCTTTCCCTGCTGCCAGTGGGTGAGCCCCGCTAGGGATGAGAGCAGCCTGAAGAGAATACATAGAACAATTTCTCCCCTTTGAGTTATTAAATTTAGGTTTCCTTCTAAATCAAGGGGTTATAGCAATGCAGTCATCCACTAAAAAAAATGCCCTTTTTTTTTTTTTTCTTCAATCCAGGAGCCTGATTTCCATAGCTGACTATGGCTACGGTCACTGTAGTAGGTATTGGAGATAATTTAATGTACACCAGAGAGAGAGCACTTAACTTGTACACACTGCTTCTAAGCGGTCTGGAACATTAAACTCTTTTTGCTTTCTCTGGGCCTCTTATCTAGACATTTTCTAAGTCCTGTTTTATGGAAAAATAAAATGGATCTGGCCATTACTACTTGCGTGTACTCACTTAATTTCAGTCCTGGGAAAACAGTCCAAAATACATATATGGTAATGGGCTATTCTAATAACGATGAGCAGGGCTGATGAGATGGCTGGATAATCTCTCCCTGGTGAGTACTACCGTCATTAACTCAGTTGCTGGGTGCCTGGCTTTCTGATGGGGTGAGCTTTGGCACTGGGGTTTTCTCCCCCTAGTATCTCTAGGCTAGAGGATGACAAATAAGGGATTATTTCCAATTAGTGGGGGTGTAAGAGAGTGGGAATGTGCAGTGCAATAAATGTTCCATGTGGATACTTAATTCAGAGCGCAAGGGCCTTCTATTTTCAGCTTAACACACTATCTCTGGTTAAGTATGTCTGCACGTGGATTTAATCAGAAAAAAATACTATGTAGAAAAAGCCCATAGTAGTAAAACCCCAGATAATGCTCTAGTAGGTTTTTTTTTTCTTCCCCTCAGCTCACAAAGTCTCAAGGTAGGGTAAATTGTATCCCAATTTTTACCACTAAGCCTATCCAAATCAAACTTTCAGTCGCATAATAAATCGGCAAGAATAATCTTTGATAACAAGCCCCAAAAAAGGTCGTCGCTTCTGCTTGGCACCCACTGAAGGCCGTCAAATTGTTCGCTGAGACAGAGCACGCAGTAGGGGCAGCATTGATGCCTCTGTACCAGTAGGCTTACTCTGCCGTAAATAATGTCAGCAGTTACAGCACATTTCTGGTGGCTTTGTCCTGACCTTACATCCGGGATTTACCTGAAGTGATTTGCTCCGAGGCGTACAGCTGCTGCGGGCGGGCAGCTGAGTTTGAGCCGTTCTTGGGAAAGGCAGGTCTTCAGCTGACGTTCCTCTACCCAGCTCAGATCTAGCGGCACTCATCTCGCCGGTACATCCCATCCTTGGCCATAACTAGATGTTCGGCTACCTCACCACTGCTTGCCTAAGGTCTCTTATTCACCTTCTCTTCTTTGCAGTTCTCATTGCTCACTGCCAAAGATGGGACCCTGCCATGTGCCTAATGGCTTAAAATGTGGCAAATGGTAGCACAGTTAGTGAGTACAGAGCCTGGGGGGAGGTAAAGCACAGGCACAGACAGGCAGGACATGGATTTTCAATACCATAGCTGCTGATACCAAGCTTCGTAACCTTTCTTCACACGTTTCCTCCTGCTTAGGGTGCCTGCGTGGGCTTCTCCATGAATCGTTCAACGTACCACAGATGAAAGAAAGGCACAGCACAGGGAAACTGCCAGTGCAGCCTGGGAAGGGTTTCTAGGTGCGTGACGCATAACTGGTTCCTTGCAGTTAAGCAGAGACCTCCAACTCTTTAAATATATGCAGTATCATTTAATTTGTTTCCAACCTTATACAATAGAAATGGGTTTTCCACAACACACTACCTCCGAAGCTGTCAAGCTTGTAAGAGAAACAAAAGGTTTACTGATTTTTCCTTTTTCTTTTTTTTTTTTTTTTTTGTAACAACGTAGTATTTACAATATTCACAAAAAGCAAAACAGAAATCCACATCTATACATGGAAATTCTTTACCGGCATTCGTGATGCTCCTTGATAATAGAACTAAAGGCGTTCTGATGTAAACTTGTCTTCACTCTTTTTTCCCTTTGTCTTCTGTTGCAAAACCAAACTCTCACAACTTCTTTCTCAAGATTGAGCCCCTCAGCCATCCTCATAATTTCCTGAGAAGAAGGCTTACTTTGTTCTCCAAAGTGCCTCTCTAGGGCTTCTTTGGCAGCGATACTGCATAAAGGGATAAAATTTCACCTTTAAAAACTTTTCTGACACATTCAGGCTTTCACCCTGAGTTCAGGAGACGGGTAAGGTAAGAGCACTGGAGGGTGGTGACTTGGTGTTTCCTCTTTTTCTGTGTCAAGGGAACCCACATTGCTTAAAGTACACTGCAGTTCTTCACTGATTTGAACAGCATTCACACCATGCAGAATTTCAGCACAGGGTAATTTAAAGGCAAAACTAGCATCAGATTTGATGCAATTTCGGTGGTAATCATGAAATATTTATGCTTCTTTATGTTCTCTAGGAGTTACTGCCTAGACATGAATGGCATCACAGGAATTGCAACAGCCTGGCCATCAATTCTGCCCCACCACAGCAGTGTCGTAGGGTTTTGGCAAATGCACATTAGTGGCGTTACCTGGTTGTATCAAATCGTTCGGGTTTACAAAGAGGAAGAGCTCCATCACTAAAATTTGGGAAATGTTTTATGTTGTATCAAGTTATGCCTCTCATTTTGTTATACAGAGAGCACTAGAAATCACAAAGATTACAGCAAGCTGCTTTAGCCATCATCACATTTTTTAAAAGTCTGCCTTCATCTATTCCTCAGAGTCAGCAGTGACCAAAGCTGAGTGATTCAATATACAAAATAATTTAAGACTAGTATATTTTCTTATTTTCAGAAAGAATTTGGTTCCGGTTTGTGTCACATGTTCTCAGAAAACACTGTCTCTGCGACACGCCTGTGTGCCAACAGGACGCATCCAGAACTAGCTGCAGCAGTAGCTGCAATTTCTTTGGACACAAGAGGGCACTCAATCCATTATTATTCTGGAAATGAGGTGCAGGTATTTCTGCTCTAGACATACACAAAGTATGTCCTGGAGTTCTAGTTATTTCATTCCTTCACCTCTGACAGATTGTTGGCCTTTCTTTTACAGGTCAATTTTGCAATATTTACTAATGTTACGAAAACTATGTAATTAATATGATGGTGTCCTGCACACACACAGACACAGAGAAACATCATTATTCTTGACTAACAGCTTCTTAGACTTTGATCGAAGTATAAAATAAAATGGTTTTCACAGATTAAAATTAAGTAGTTTTTGCTCAGGATGTGACTAACCTAATTTAGTTTGTGGGACTTTTGTTTTACCTCTAGTTTGCCATCAAACATACTTTAGGAACTGCTAAGAGTAAGGCTACAGTTCAGATAAAGTCTATCTCCCTGATTAGTTTCAGATCTTCAAATTGAGGTCCTATTTGCCTTCAAAGCAACAATTAATATTTTTTTACCATCTGGGATTTGGTCCTAAACTTCCCCTCAATTATCTGTGCCCTTGACTACTTGCTGTATTTGATACTCCTAGTGCAGTGGGGTTAAAGGCAAAACCAGGAATAATTAAAAAATGCTTAATATGAGGACTGATTTTCTCAATAGCTGTTAAAAAAACACCACCAAAACCACAAAGATGAAGAGTCTTCAATGGGTTCCTCTAGCCAGGGGAAAACAATTAGGACAGTGAAGCTCTCAACTCACAGCTGTCATGCAGCCTGCACTGCATAGACTGGACAAGGTCTTTGCACTGGCACTCCAGTCCTTACTGGCTTGGAGAGAAGCTGAAAGGAAAATCTGTCTTTCCAAGAGCAAAGCTTCGGCCCTTGTGAGGTGTTGCAATAAACAAAGGAGCTATGAAGCATCTCCCATCCCAAATTCACTCTTAACTAAGAAGGATGCCCTCTGAGGAATACTTAATTCTAAAGTCAGAAAGAAATCACATCTTCATTTTATTCCTTATATCAAAGGCAATATGACTGATGAAATGCACCCCAGAGTCCTGAGGGAATTGGCTGATGTAGTTGCCAAGCTAGTCTCCATGATATTTGAAAAGTCATGGCAGTCAGGTAAAGTCCCTGGTGACTGAAAAAAGGGAAACATTGCACCCAGTTTTAAAAAGGGTAGAAAGGAGGGCCCTGGGAACTACCAACCTGTCAGCCTCACCTCTGTGCCTGGGAAATTCATGGAACAGATCCTCCTAGAAACTATCCTAAAGCACATGGTGCTCTGTATCTTATTCACTATATAGGCATTATAAAATTGGGGTAGTATTTGAATATTTTTTTCACATTAACATATGTTATCTGTTGAAAAAAAGTCTTTAACTGAGAAATGTAGTATATTTGGAGCAAACTGGAATTAGGGTTGGGTGTTAATGCTGTTTTCTGGAATGTTCCAAAAGAGTTTGTCCTCTACTGACTATACAGATTCATTAGTAGAAAACACCACTTTGAGTTCCAGCCCAAGAGAAAGAAGCATTTTAGCCAAAGGGCTTTCTAATGTGTAACCCCCTAAACATTTATTACCTTATGGTAGTTCTGCGCTTCCTCTTCCGTTCATTCACTCCAACTTTTTCATTGTATAAAGCTGCAGTAAAAAGAAAATAAAACAACACCAAACGTGGCAGTAACTTTCCAGAGAGGTTGGAAAAGAAGCACAATTATCTCCAGAAAATAAGTCCCTTTCTTTGAAGACAGAAGAAAGCTAACAGATAACGCCACTGAGCAAGAGCAGCGTCACACGTGGGAACGCTTCCTTCTTTAAGATGGTTTGGCATTGTTTTACCTCCAGCTACAAATTGCTCTAAGCAAAATTGGTGTGCTACCGGTAAAACTGCAGACAGCGCTGGCTCTGTGCCTACATACCTGGGGAGCTGTACTTCAGCCCCCTCCTCTAACATACCTTCTTCTTCCTACCTTGCAGGGTACAGTCTGGGGAGATGGACTCCATTTCCATACCCCTCAGCTACCTCACCCTCTTTCCTCAGAAAAACAGCCTTACCCACACTCCTCATTTATTTCACTTGCCTCTTTCCATCCCATTTTCTGAAGGACAAGTTGCCCATTGCTTCTCAGAGGCCACTGCCTGCACATATGATCTTACCCTGCAGCTCCAAACTGTGCTGGTGCTCACGTAACCAGCAGCTCCTACGCACCCCCAGCCCCCTACTAGCAGTTCTTGCCACGTGCTGACCACATCAGGAGAGCCTCCAGTTCCCAGTGCAGTTACAGGGGAAGGAAGTTTTCTACATCCTGTTCAAAGCAACCAAAGCGTCTGGCAGAAGCAGCTGCTTAACAATGTTTCCTACTGTTAAATACAATGGCAAATCCAAAAAGTAGCTCTGAGATCATCTTCTCTTTCTTTAAGATCATCTTCTCTTTCTCACCTTCATGCTAGGTGAGTACTGCACAGTGGCAGTCCTGGCTTTCACCGTCACCTCCAGGCATAATGCTCCCCAGCACTGCAATTTATCCAGCTGAAAAAGCTGTTCTTGAAAACAACCTCTTTCGTTTAAATCAATCAACCTGTTTTAAAAATACACTTTTCCCAGTGAACCCCATGATTCTTCCTGAAGCTGGAAAGTAACTGGGCAAAAGGAAAGGAATCCCCTAGCAGCAAAAAGATCACGTCAAAAACCTATTATTTGGTTTCAGGGTTTTAAGACCACTGCCTCAGCTGAACCCAAATCCTTTGCCCCGTGGCCACATCTCATACGCCAGAGACTGCAAGGAAGAGCCCTTTGCTAGTGAAGAATCCCCATAGGCTGCCAAACGGGGTCTCCAACAGATCCTAGTAATAGCTTTGACCTATGCTACAGCAGTGGAGCTAGTTTGCTGGGATGGGACTGAAAGGAATTACTTACAGTAGACCAAGTGATGTTTCTGCTATTCTGTACCCTCCATGCATTTCAGTTTGCCCTTCCTTGCTCACCCAAAAAAGATAACCAAAATTTAATATAAGCACACGTTAGTATTAAAAGCTGGTAAACCAAAAACTTTAGTCTATGAAGGGCACATATTGTAGTCCTTCAACATATATATAGGATTCTGGTTTAAATGCAAATCAGTATTTAGAGGATTTCAGTTCTCTACCTCCTACTTGTTCTGCTTCCTCCAGCCACTTGGACAGTATTGATTTCAGTTTGCATGCGTTCTTGAAACTCAGCTGCAAGTTTTCAAACCGGCAAATAGTAGTTTGGCTGAATTCAGAGCCGTGCACAGCAGCCAGGGCTTCTCCAACATTGGTCTGTGTATAACCTGTCAAAAAACAAGAAAAAATAAAAGTCACTTTGGCACTTCCTAGAACGGGTTACTTTCCTTGAGATGGTCAGCCCTTCGCTGCTGACTCCTATGAACAGCGTGTGCCTGCAGCATCTGCAGGATGGGCTTTCTGCAGAAGTCCCTGTGGCTGACTGAGCTCACCTCAGAGATGTGTTCCATCTCCAGCTGGTTTCAGGGGAGTTTTAAACTCATCTAGTGGAGTTTTACACTCCAAGATTAGGGATTTGAGTAGGATCCAGACCTCATATTTTTCTTTCTTATTGCAATGGCAATAAACTAATCCCTGGTGGCACTGCTGGTCTCCGGTTATTTGTCAACAGCTAAGTTGATCAGAGAAATGCTGCAACTTCTATCAGACACTGACTTTGTAACAACAGTTCTCTATTCAGTGCCCTGAATATCTGCACCGTTCAGGGGTCTGGCTCGTCATCCTCCCCCTTCTGCCTCTGCGCCAGAATGAGCATCATCTCTTTAGATGCTGAATGTCTCACGAAGCAGCTTTTAACCTCCCATTTTGATTGCACTAACTCTGTGTCTCGCAGTCTCAGACCCACAGCCCATACTAACTCTGTCTTCCCTTGTAAAGCTCAACCTCAGATTAGTTTTCCTGTGCAAATTGCATTTTTCCCATCAGAGCATCAAGCCCAGTTTTACAGGTTCTGTGCCATTTCATTGCATCAAAGGAAGTTTTGTTCCTTCACAAATTCAGCTTGGAGACGCAGTAATAATTACAGTGATTAATAGCTTGGGGCCTAGCAAACCTTTCCATTGCTCTGGCTGATATTAAATCCCTGATATACAGCAAAACTCACCAAGCTGCAAACACTCTTTTAAACCTTAAATTTTTATTTCAGTCCTTATTTTTAAGCTGCAAATGGAACACACTAGCTTTCTAGCTGTGGAGGTAATGCATAGATCCCTGTAATAACCTTAAAAGGGTTTTACAATTATAAAGCTAGATTTTTGTAGGATACCCTATTTTGTAATGATACAATGCAATGTTATAAGCAATAATGTGAAAATTGCAACTCCATATACACAATGTTCATAAGTGGGATGAATTTGCAGCACCAGGTTTTTTTTTTTTTTCATACAGTTTGAGCATGGATGAGACAGGCTGTTACATTGCAATGTACCTCAAATGCTCCTGCAGAGAGGAGAAATTGTCTACAGATGAGAAAAACAGGGAAGGCTCAGTCCACCTTTGTCCCCAGCTAAGATTATCCAGTGAAAGACAAGCACCTCACTGGAGACCCTCTAATGCAATCCATCTCACATCAGCCCCAGTAGTTATTAGACAGCAATAAAGATGTCAATTGCTGCTGTTCCTGTGTCTTGGCACAAGAAAATAAACCAGGAAAGAGAAGCTTCCTACTGGTATGAAAGATTTGCCATGGATGTCACCTATCTTGTATGCCAAGACGACGTTGCACCATCAGATGAAGCACTTAATGGGAAAGAGGATGTGTAGGAGAGGTTAGAGCATGCGCTGCCTTAAATCCCATAAAATCTGGGGCTGTGCAAAATAATGCACCTGCTACTGAATGTAATTTAATGAACAGCAATAATTTTCCCTGCACTTAAGAGAAATAATTTAAGGGCAGGAAAGTCACTTTCTGCATACTAAGTGGCAAAAGCTGAAGTTCATTAATTCTGTGCAAGTCTTCTAAGAATGGAGAAAGTTTGGCGGTGCAAGGCAGGATTAGAGTTATGATTAGCCAACTGCAGAGGCTAGACCGTAAAACCTTCAGAAATAATTGGGCTTCCAAATAGATTTTTTCAGCCTTCTGTTTGCGGACATAAAGCACATACCCAACTTAATTCTCCGCAGCTTGAATTCATTAGCAAATTTCTCCAGTTCCCGGATTTCAGGGGAGTCCATGTCGACAGGCTCTTCAACGGACTTGCTTTTTCTGCGGAACTCCTGCTTGAAGTCTGCGGCGGCAGGATCATCTGCAAGGAGGGACTGGTGCATGGGCGTGAAGCTGTGGCCCAGGGCACAGGAGCTGGCGCTCAGGGCGTGCTCCGGGAATTTATAAAGACAGGGGGTCAGGCTACCTGAGCAACACCAAAAAGAAAATGCAGAGCAGTTGTTCTTTACTCCCAGGCAACAAAAACATGCCTTCATCATCCCATAATCCCTATCTGTAAGATGTATTATATAGCATACACAGAGGTACCTAAGAGTGAGGATCTCCTAGGAGATACAATCTCTGTCTTGCCCCATACGTGAAAACAAACCAGCATCTACTTTCACAGGCCACTGCCATCCTCTTTCCTAGCAAACTGTGATGTACTTAAGATGGTAAATGGTCCAAACTTAAGTAATTCCAGCTGAGGCCTTGGATTGTTAAATGGCGCAATGAGATTGGTAGATCTATGTCATTTTGTGTCACCTAAAATGCACCAGTCTCTACCTTCTGGTACAAAGAATATTTCCATGTAAATACTATTTGATGCCCAGAGAAGTTACTACCTTGGTTAGCTTTAGCATACAACTTGTTAGCACAAAGATAAGGGCTCAAAGAAGATCACACTCGCATTCAGCATGGCCATTCTGGCTTAAAAAGAGACTGCTCAAGGACAAAACAAAACTATCTCATGCTACCTTTTTTTCCACAAATATCAGACTTAACAAGGAGATTCCATTGAGAGTGAAGGCTGTTTTTTTGCTAGATATTGTACATAGAGTTAAGAAGTCTCTGACCTGAAGGTGGGGGAGGGGGGGAATAATTGGAGAAATATTAACCCTCTTCAGTGTGTCTGGAGCAGCCAGTAAATTCCAGGTTCTCAGGACACCTTTCGCAATTTTCTAAATTGCACAAAACTTTGTAGCAGAACTCAGAACTTCATTAACCTCCCACTCCTCCATTCACTTTACTTGTCTTCACTGCCTCAATTTCTCTCACCAGAGTTAGAGGTTCTAACCCCATAGGAATATTTTATGTACTTCACACAGGATATCCACAAAAAGAAAGATTTTCTCAAAGAACAAAGGAAAAAATTAAGAAAAGAGAAGGACTTGCTTTGCAAGGTGCTGACACCGTTTACCACATTCGGATGCGGCATGCTGCATGTCTGTAAGATGCGACTTTGGGAAAGACTTGCTGATAGCATCTCTGGAGTTGCAGGCTTGATGCCTAAAAAAAGATTTAAAGGTAAGAAAAGAAAGGGGAAAAATTAAGAAGCATTTATTTTGCAATGAAACAAAATTAACTTCTGAGCAATAATTTTTGTTTAATACATAAAAACCTTTCCTGTGGATCTGAACAATGCCAGGAATATATGCAACAAACATGTAAATGCACAATGAAATAGGAGCATTTGGGCATTTGTACACTGTGAAGAAAGTTTAGTCTCTGTCCCTAAAAAGTTCCTAGGCAGGTGTATTAATCTATGCTGACTTACTCTAATATTTCTTTCATTTTTAAGTGAAAGAAAATGCTGAATTTTATTTTGGATTAGCTCTCAGTCACACTTATTTCCTGGGAGTTGTGTTAATTTCGTTCATGGCATTATCTCGTTGACTGCTCTTTGAACTTGCATGGAATAACAGTTCCTCTTTCTTGCTCAGCCTGGGACATGTAAAACTGAGCAAGATGCTTGCATACACTCATGAGTGTAAAAATCCATGATTGTCTGTATGGTCTCCCTGCTTAATTCAGCTATCCTTCCATTATGCCACCATATTATTTTATAGCTCTAGTCAAGGCTCCATCACCCCAGGTACTGGTAATACAGGTGAAGCGGACATAGGCAAGCAAAAAGAGCAGCACTTGTCCCTGCCTTGTAGAGACAAATAAGATACAGAGCAATTTGCCGAGAGGTGCAGAGGTTTGGGTCCAGCCCTATTCAATATATTCATCAATGACCTGGATGAAGGGATAGAATGTACTCTCAGCAAGTTTGCTGCCGATCCCAAACTGGGAGGAGTGGCTGCCACGCAATGTGACCTGGACAGGCTGGAGAGCT